TGAAGATGGTAATATAACAAAGAATAAAGCCAGACTTGTTGCAAAAGGCTATTATCGGGAGGAAGGTATAGATTATGATGAAACTTATGCTCCTGTGGCCAGGTTAGAGGCTATACGCCTACTTCTTGCTTATGCATCTATGATGAAATTTAAATTATATCAAATGGATGTTAAGAGTGCATTTTTAAATGGTTTTATTAAAGAAGAAGTGTATGTAGAGCAACCCCTGGTTTTGAAGATTTTAATAATCCTAATCATATTTTCAAATTGAAGAAAGCATTATATGGGTTGAAACAAGCTCCTAGATCTTGGTATGAAAGATTAAGTAGTTTCCTAACTGCAAATGATTTTTCAAGAGGAAAAATTGATTCTACACTATTTATTAAGAAAGTTAAAGAACATATCTTATTGGTCCAGGTATATGTTGATGATATTATTTTTGGATCAAGCTGATAATTCTTTGTGTGTAGAATTTGCTAAGATTATGCGGGGAGAGTTTGAAATGTCTATGATGGGAGAATTAACATTCTTCCTTGGACTTCTAATCAAGCAACTTAAAGATGGCACTTTCATCTCTCAAACTAAATACTGCAAGGAGATTCTCAAAAAGTTTGGTATGGACACCTCAAAGGAAGCTAACACACCCATGGGAACTTCATGCTATCTAGACAAGGATGAATCGGGTTTGGAAGTTAATCAAACTATGTATAGAGGTATGATAGGATCACTATTATACTTAGCTGCTAGTAGACACGATATTATGCATTACTGTACGTGTGTGTGCTAGATTTCGAGGCTTGTCCTAAAGAATCTCACCTAATTGCGGTAAAACATATTTTAAAATACTTAAAAGGAACTACTTGGGTTTGGCTTGTGGTATCCGTCGATGCTTGTATTAGTTTATTAGGATATTCGATGCTTGATTATGGTGGATGTAAAATTGATAGGAAAAGCACTAGTGGGACATGTCATTTGTTAGGTTCATCCTTAATATCATGGCATTCTAAGAAACAAGCATGTGTAGCTTTATCTACCACTGAAGTTGAATATATTGCGATGGTAGTTGTTGTGCTCAAATTACGTGGATGAAACAACGAGTTAGAGGATTATAGTATATATTTAAATGACATACCCTTAATGTGTGATAATACGAGTGCAATCAATCTAACTAAGAATCCGATAATGCACTCTAGGACTAAACATATTGAGATTAGACATCACTTTTTAAGAGATAATATCAGCAAAGGAAAGCGTAAGATAGAGTATGTAGACACTAAACGTCAATTAGCAGATATATTTACTAAGCCTCTACCAAAGGATAGATTCTATGATCTTAGAAGAGACTTAGGAATATTAGAAATAGCTTAAATTCTGCTTAATTTGACTGTTTTTGGATGATTGTTATGTTAAAATTCGTGTTGTAGGATATTCATAGGTTATAATGTGTAAAAACCTTAAAAACTTGATATAGCCTCCGGAATAATCGATTCTTGGAAGTAATAATCGATTATTTTTTCTCAAAACGTCTAAAACAGGGTATTCTCCTCTGGAATAATCGATTATTTCGTGAAATAATCGATTAAATGCCTCTACAATCGATTATTTGCTAGAAATAATCGATTAAAAGCTATCGATATAGAGAGAATCAATGTATTTTCTTTTGTTATTGTCTTGATGTTGTAATGGTTGAATGATTGTGAAATAAAATTTGATGTTTCTTTCATGCTATAATTGAGGGGAGCTTTCTCTAACTTATGCATATTTTGAGGGGGAACTCTTATGATTGATGTTGCAGAGTTCTTTTTTATTATAATCAAAATAGGGGAGAAAAATTTAAAGCCTATGATTCAATTTTAAATTTTATCTGGTATGTTTAATGTGTTTGTTAGTATGACGAGATAAAGCGAGGTTATTACAAAGGGCTTTAAAAGAAAATTTTGATCATCATCAAAAAGGGAGATTGTTGACAATTCAAGGACTTGATGTTGCACTTGATGAATATGAAGAATGGATTTTGATGATGATCCAAGAACTAAAGACTTAGAATATTGAAGATTGAAGATTGGTGATAATTGTATTGTAATAACTCTGTTTTATTTAAGATTGAGTCCGTATTTTTAGAGTCTAAGATAGCGGTACATAATACGTAACTTAGAAGCTTCAAAAAGCTCAAATTTATCATTTAGGCTCGGCTTTAATCGATTATATAGGTAAATAATCGATTAAAACGGTGAGAAAACACTTTCTATACAAACTCACTTGTTTTAATCGATTAAAACAGCAAAATAATCGATTGTTTTGTACTTGATCCGTACTGAGATAATCGATTATTTCACCAAATAATCGATTAATCTAGAGAGGTTTGGGTTACGACGTATTTGGCTCTGTTTTAATCGATTATCACTCCAAATAATCGATTATTTCGATCTGTTTTTCATTTTAAATTTCAAATTAACCCTATTTTCGAAAACCCAATTACCAAGAACCCTAGTTTCGAAATCCCCAATTCCTAAACCCTAATTTCCCTACTTAAACTACTGCTTTGGCACTCGAGAAAACAAGAACAACTCTTTCCATACAAAAGTTAAGTCTTGTGAGTGCCGGAGAACTGTTTGTTGCAAGGAAAGGGGGCTTTTGGAACCTGGTGTAAGGCTAGAAGCGATAAGAATCACTAAGTGGAGTTCTTAGTGGATTGTGTGTTGTGCCGTCTCTAGGGAAAGTCGTTCTTCATCTCTTGTGGATTTCAAGAGAGGTGTTTTCTCGATCTTTATCTGTTCATTTGTAATCTGTTTGTAACAATTTGTTCTTAGTGACGAGCGTTAATCCTCTTTTGAGTGATTAGCAATTGGACGTAGGGTCTTTTGATCCGAACCGAGTATAAACCTACTTGTGTAATCTTCTTTACTCTTCTCTATTTACATTTACGCAGTTTTTAATCGGTAAAATTTGGGGAAAATTTTGAAAACCTAATTTTTATTAAAAATCCAATTCAACCCCCCTCTTGGTTTTTGTCCGACCACGCGAACATTCCGCTGCGCGATTCTAACACTCAATTATGATTATTGATAGTGATATTTGATTTTTTTTGAACGAATTTATGTTTAAGTTCGAGGATATTTGATCCCCGACAAATTACATTATTAACTGAATTATGTAATTATGTATGTATTACAAAATCTAGAAATGAATAAAAATTGAATTAATTGTGTCTGCATAACTGATGAGTATAAAAAATGAGCGGAAGAATTTTTATTATTTGCACAATGGAACATTTCGACTAGTTACACTAGTGGAATACTTAGTTATCCATGCGTTAATTGTCTTAATGGAATATTATTAAATGTTGAAAAAATTAGGGAACATTTTTTATGTGACGATTTTCTTAAAAATTACACAATTTGGACATGACTCGGTGAACTATTAGATTTGTCATATGTAAATGAATTTTATCATGATTCAGTTTATTCAACCATGAATGATTGACTGGAGGACATGATTTATAACATTGAAGTAGAATATTTGGCTCAAACGCCTGTGTATGAAAATATGTATAGCAATATAAAGACTTCACTTTATCTTGGTTCAACTAACTTCACACAGTTGTCAGTAATATTAAGAAATTTGAAGACAACGAATAGGTGGACTGATCAAAGTTTCACTAAATTGCTTCAGTTGTTGAAGGAAATGCTTTTAGAAGGAAATAAATTATCCAATCGTAATTATGAGGCAAAAAAAAAATTGTCCAATGGATATGGAGTATAAAAAGATACATGCATGTCCTAATTATTGTATTTTATATAGAAATGAGTTTGAAGAGTTAAGAAAGTGTCCCATTTGTGGATTATCTTGTTACAAAGTGAAAGATAATAACCAAGACAGTAATGATGACATTACTATTGAGTAACTCCCTGCCAAGTCCATTTTGTATCTTTCAATAATTCCAAGGTTTAAACATTTGTTTGTCAATCCTAAAGATGCTAAAAACCTTAGATGACATGCAGATGGGAGGACATGTGATGGATTGATTTATCGTCCAATTAATTTTATGCAATAAAAAGACTTTGATAATGAGTTTCTTGAATTCGGTGTTGCGTCAAAAATCTTAGACTTGGATTGACAACTAATGGAATGAATTCATTTAGTAATATAAGTATTAATCATAGTTTCTGGCTTGTTTTACTATTTATTTACAACCTACCCCTAAGCTTGTGTATAATATGTAAATACATGATATTGTCTATGATGATCCTAGGTCTAAGACAACTAGAAAATGACATAGATGTATATCTTAGTCTATTGATTGAAGATTTGAAATTTTTGTGGGGTGAAGGGGTTGAAGTGTTTGATAGATTTGCTTGTGAGTCTTTCAAGATGCATGTCATGTTGGTTCAAGATGCTTCTAGTCTTGAGCAACCATCTCCACCTTCACGTCATAAGTGGAAGTATGTTGGACTTAAAAAATCAGACAAATATACTTTTGAGGAGTCACGTGTTACAACTAAATGAATTATAAGTAGTTATTTTTTTATTCCTGATAATATTTATTATGTGAAATTGCAATATATGTTACAATTTCATTGGTTAAGGAATGTACCCTGAATATTTTTATTCCTCAAGGTCAATGGGATATCCTAACAACTGCCCTTTATCAACATGATCACCTTGGTCGTGTTAGAATTGTTAGAGTAGGTGTGAGGATTAAATCTTTCTTTTGAGCAACATCACATAAGTCATATTTCTTATCTAGTGGTCCAGTTAAGAGCATATACATAATTTCATAGCACAACTAAATGAGGAGATTATGGATGAGCTAAGGAAGGAACTTAGACAGGAGGTCATAGAAACTGTGACACAAAACTTGTGTCAACAGTTTGACCAGCGGTGGATGAGGCTAGGGCTCTCCCAATAGACAACTACTGCAGAAGTAGATGTACCATCCTATCAGGTGTACGTTTTATGTTGAAGACATTGATTCCCCTCAATTAGTGGTGTTCGGGAAGATGTTTGAAGGGGTCAAGATGTTATATAGTGTACCTCTTCCTGCTCATTTGGTAAGGTCATGGTTGAGAAAGTTTGTAATGGTAGTGTTATTGTACCTATGCCAACAGATGAGGTTACTATTGTGACAAATACTTCAAACTTTCATTTCCTAGCCTAAAACATCTAGTTAGACCCATATAAGACACCATGATATGACAATAACAATCATACATTTGATTCTTTCTTATTATATTATTTTTAATATTAATGTTATTTATGCGCTACCACAATGTTGGAAAGATGGGAAAAATAAGAAGCAATGTACTACTAGTGACCTTTTGTCTTCATTCTTAGATGTTTTCAAGACCATTAGTACCAATCCATTGAGGTGTCATGGGATTCTACCTTTTTTGGAAGAAAAAGTGATATCTAATTATATTTACACATGTCTGATATGTTAGAGATTGTAACAAGTTATAATAATCTAGAGATCAAATATATGTTATGCAATTGTGAATGATGTAAGTTATTTAAACTAAAATTCTTACTATTTTAGTTATCGAAATAGTTTATTAATCATTATTTCACTCGTTATAGGTATCTATCTCAGTTATGTGTGAATGATGGAAAAGATAAAGTGTATGGATTTTTAGATCCTTAACTTATTCAACCATTGGATAATAAGAAACCAAAGACACAAACATACATCACAAATAGTCCCTTATCGGGGAAAAAACTTTATTTTGCACCATATGTTTATGAGTAAGTAGATTCTCTTTATAATTTATCTTTACTTAATTCCAATTTTAACTAACTTCAATATATTTCAATATATAGTCATCATTAGCAATTGCTTGTCATATCTATGGTTGACAACACGACTACATGATTTTGTTCATTGCACAAAAACCACATATATACCTTAAACATACAATATATTGCAGTTTTTTTTTAAGCACATCTCCCATGGATATAGATGTCATACATACAATATATTAGACACACATGTGCAACACACTTCATCAACTTGATTACATTAGGATAACTAAGTTTTTGTTAAAACGACATTATATATATGATCATGACTTTGTGGTTGAATATTATGATAATTTACTAATTATTCTTGTACATTTAGGATAATTGATTAATTATTCTCATAGATGCTTATACTAATTTTTGTAGGATTTTAGTAAAATTAATATTAGATAATAACTATTGTATATATTTCTGATTCTTTATATACTGTAAATATGTATGAAATTTGTATTAGATTGAATTGGATATGCGAGATAATGAGATAAATTCTAAAATAGATTGCTTATTAAAAAACAAGATACAATGATGATTAATACCATAATGATGTATATATATATATATATATATATATATATACATATATATATATATATATATATATATATATATATATGTTTGATACAAAAATTCAATGATGGATGTGACCGAACTCGTCATTATATATGAAGATACAATAATGTATCATTCACCTACAATGATGACTTAGTAACCGATACGAGAGGTCATATTTATTCATTGTTAATGGTAATTACTACAATAATATAATAATTGAGTTTCGATACATGTTCGAAAAGATTTTACTTTTTATTTTAAATGTTTACACAAGTTTTTTTTTTATAAACACTTAAAAAAATCATAAGTGAAAATTAATTGACTTTTAAAAATTAAATTATATGTAAATCATTTAAATTTATAAATAATTTATATATTTTTCTCTTATAAAGTGCTTATAGAAAAACTTATTCCAAAAATCTTTAGGTTTTTAAAAAAAGTTTGTCTCATACATTTAAGAAATAATCTATCTTGTAAATTCAGAAAAAAAAATATATATATATATATATATATTTTTTTTTTTTTGCAGCTAATATATATGTTTATTGTAATTGATATGGGAGTAAAACTTGTACTTAATCTTCTCATATTAGATGTCCCCCCACATTCTCCTGTCTCTAGCCCTATTCTCAAGTCCTCGTATAACTACAGAACAACCTTGTTGATTCAATCTAAGCAATAATTACTTTTACTGAATAGTGAAATTTTTTATTCATTGTTACCTAATTATATATAAAATCACGAATTTCAATAATTACTTTTGTATATTTATAACAATTTTTAATTATTCAATTATATATAATATATGAAAAATAAATTTTATTTTTAATATTTATTATTAAATTATCTATTTATGTCATTTCTTTGGTCTATTATATAAAAAGAATATTATACGTGCAACTGTCTTTTTTCTTTTTTCTTTTTTCTTTTTTTCTTAAAATGTGACCATATAACCACGGAAGAAAGTAAGGGACCTACACAGAACGGATCCAAGAAGGTCTTTGCTATGGGCACCCTCGGATTGCTATTTGAAGTCAACTATTTACTTGAAGTTTTTATTTATTTATTATTTATTTAAAATATCAAAATAAGTTTAACCACTGCATCGATTCTCCATAAATAAATCAGGCTAAAAACAATTATTCCCTAAATTAAATTAGAGTGATTTTGGTATGATTTATTTAAGCTATAACTTAAATTAAATCAGATTCATAAACTTAGGGATTAACCATATTTATAATATAATATTTATTTTTTAAATAAAAAAATATTGTTTTTTTATAAATTATTTTGATTAAAAATGTACTTATTTAAAAGTCTAATAAGTAAGATAAACTATTATTTTTTATATTATATTACTAAAAAATAAAATTTAACTCTGAATAAATCTATTTTTTTTATAATTTAAATATTAAATTATTATATATAAATTAATTTTTTTTTATTAATATTATTTAAATTTTTATTTTTATTTTTTATTAGTTTTTTATAAATAAATTATTTTTTAATTTTAATAAAATAAAAATTATTTTATTATCTTAATATAAAGTTAAGGTAGATAAAAAATTATAATTTATTTTAAAATATAGATAAAACCGAGTGAAAAAGTTTTTTTAACCGTTCTTACCAAATTAAGGTGGGTGATACAGCCCGTGTTATATCTCCTACTTTTTGGAGACAAGATGGAGTGACATATTGAAATACGAATTTGACCCATTATTTGTAGATGGGTTCCAAACCCACTTACACGTGAGCTTACAAGTACAATAGTGGATAACATGGGCCAGTAGCCCAGTGACTATTTCAGCCCAAAACTAAAGTGGAGTATGGATTATGATAAAATAATGGCAAAAGATGAAATAATTGAATTAATTGCAAGATGTTGGATATTGTGGCGTATCGGAAAAGTTCCAATGCACATTCCATTATTAAATTTTAGTTTTGTTCTTCATTCATAAGTAGATTAATTCAACCTTATCAAAATTCAGTAGTGGGTTAATTAACACGTGCTCTCAAATGATTTTGAGGATTGAGATAGGATTTCACATAGCTTGGACTAAGGTACCATCCTCTCATGCTCAAACTTTTTACCCACCACACAAAATATAAATGACAAGAGGAATCCACTTCAAATAAAGTACATTTTTTTTCTCTTTCTAATCTTAGGGGAATATTAAAATCTGATTATAAATGCTAAACCATGTTTTGTTAGTGGGAGATTTAAAACTAAAAAGGTTACTCCACAAGCCAATATTGGCTTACAGGGCTACACATGTATCCTTCACTGTCTCCATAAATATAAAGATCCCAAACAACGCAGAATATGCTTTTCCCCCCACCAAATTCAACACCATTTATTCATATTGTTGTACGGAACAACTAACCCCACCAAACAGGGATGATATTATTCGTGTTGAAACAAATACTTATTCATGCTCCTCTTTTAGTATAATTTTGTTTATATAATCACGTTTGTTGGTATCAAACACCCCTTAATGATTACTTGGTAGGATAATATTGCGTTTCAGAATGATACACGCTTGTTGAAACGAGAAAGTAAGTAAAAAGAAAAGTACTTAAGTACAGATTAGGCTTTTTTCTTAATATAATCAACATTTGCAAAATCAAATCCAGTTGAATCATGACAACGAGCAATTAGATAGGTTTCTTTAAGGCTATTCATTTTTTTTTCTTTCTCTAATTTTTATTTATGTTAAGCCAAGCCAGTTACATTAAATAGTTGAAATTTTCTAATACTTCCGTTTTAAGAGTTAAATAAATGTATCTTAGCAATTCCGATCAGTTAAGTTACGCCTTAAATAATTTATTGTGGAATATAAATTTAATTAACCCAACTATTTTAAATTTCATATATTTATTAATTATTGGTGGAAAATAGTTGCAGAGAAAGCATGGGCACTAACATTGGAGGGAGCAGACGTCATGAGAAGGTGAGATTGATGTCATGATGAAGTCCAGCAGAACAGAAGGGTGTGGTGGTGGGTTAAGGTGTTGGTAGTGGTGGTGCAGCTATCATCCAATGTTTGAATTAGGGTTGTTTGAAAGCTAAAATCTCAACACACATATAAAGATAAAACAAAAAGAAAAGACATGCATGGAGGAATTAATGGGACCAAAGTAGACATGCGTGTGACCGGTGACCACAATGTGCCCTAAAAAACAACCCCCTTTCTCTCTGACCTTCCATTCCATGCCTTACGACAAAAGCTCCTACATAATTACCCTCATGAAGTATAAATGTTCAAGGGACGTGCATGGAAAAGACTTATTTGGAGTTAATGATTCTAAGTTATAGGACAAAATCCGAATACGAGTAACAAATGGGTGTGATTTATTTGAAGGGAAAGCAAAACAAATAGTTTATAACCTAAAAAAGCACATCATGTTTAGAAAGTAGATAGATAGATGGATGAATTAGAATATATATATTGTGACGTTGAATTAAAGAAAGAGCTCTATGTGAAAACCCTTGCGCGAAGTCTAGAAGATTGAATAGGGAAACGTACGTGTGTAGGCTTTAATGATTTACATTTTACTTTTACTTTTGATGGCTAATGGGAACCGTGTAATTAGCTTGCAGAGTTTGCCGGTGAGGAGCAATAAGGGTTGCCTTTTAAGCCAGGGCTAGTAAGTTACTCTGCGTCCTTTTTTTTACCATATACAAGTCCTCAAAAGAGAGCAACCAAAAACCATATTATGTGAACCTCTTTTGGACCAACCAGGGAGCAGCAAACAACAGCTACTGGTACAACATAAGGCAAACAGTGAGAGTACTGAGTATGAGGAAGAGGAGAAGAAGATGAAGAGGGGTGAAGCTAGAGAGACAAAATCAAAAGAAAAGAAAAGTAACACTGGTAGAGTATACTATAGGTAGATAGATAGAGGGGGTTTCGAAAACTGTGCCACTTGTCAAAAGTAATTGGAAACATCTATTATTTCCTTGTGTTGTGTGGCCTTTTCAAGTTGTAACATTTTAGTGGACAATATCTTACCAACCATCCCAAAGTGACATTTTTATAAATATTCTTTTCATGAGAATTTTAGATTATCTTTTGCCTCTTTCAAATAAACAAAATTGTCATTACATTAATTCTAAATTCACATTAATTGCTGTCCTTTCTATCTACCTCCCAACTTTGAGTCATCAACGTCATTGTGGTAAGCACGGATAAATTAAAATACAAACACAAGAAGTTGCCAAGAAATTAAAGTCATGTGGTTATGGACCTCCACATTTTTTAATGTTTGTTCTGAGAGAATATGCATTTTGCATCAGATTTTATATATATATATATATATATATATCTCACGTCTACTTTTTCACATGACAACAAATGTGGAAAAGTATGCGTCAATTTTCCATATATTTCTAAAATAACGATTTCTTTGTTGGTTTTCTTGAGAAGGAAAAATTACTGTAGAAGATGACACATTGTGGTAAATGGTTTGCAAGTTGATGATTACCAGATCGACGGGTCAAGAAGACTGAGTCAAATAATTCCATCTAGTTCATGTACAAAATGATGACTTGCTATGATTATACATAATGGCAAGCCAAAACACTGGTCCTGAACTCAATTTAGATTAAACTTAAAGTTTAGATTACCGATGTTGAAGACACGCATTACTGCATGCCCACGTAAAATGAAGGTAATGCTGATCCACTACACTCTTTGTCTCTGCTATAGCAAATTTCCACTTCAAAAGGTTAAAATTTTATTGAAGCATTAGGTATAACCTATGCTTTATTTTATGTTCCTGTGTTGTCCTTTACGCGTGGACCACCTCCACTCCACTACTGGAAAAATATAGATCATGTATATGCACAAGTTTCCTATATACCCCCCAAAAGGATAGGGTAATGAGAACCACGAATATAAATATGCATAAACATACACACTACACACCTAGTTTCAACTGAAACCAAGACACTTATGAGGAGAAGCAAGGAGAGAGAGGGAAGGGGAAGAGTGTGTTCCAAGACACAATGATTACATGGTCTTGGGGAAGCAGAAAGGGTGGCGTGGACATAGTCACATAGCCAAGAGTATGGAAGAACGTGGGGCTTGACCAAGGAATGGAAACGGCAAAAGGGAAAGTGCAAAGTATAAAAATGAACCCCCAAAAGAGGGAAAATGAAATAAAATAAAATAAAAATGAAGAAATATATTGTATAAAATTGATCTACGAACTGAAATTTAAAAAATGGAAAGAGAGAAAAGGTTAAGCTAAGCTTTTTTTTATCATGATGATAACTATTCAGCCTTTTTGGTCCTTGGTCGGTCGACAATCTGTGTTGTGTTCACTCTGTTGTTCTTGCTTGTGTTTCCCATCCCCATCTCTCTTTCTCTCTCTCAACACAGTTAGTGCAATTATACACTTTGAAGGAATCAGAAGCAACCAAAAATTGGTGTTACTTTATGAGATTATACTATGGATTTTATGGTTATAAAACATTATATTGTGTTTTTTGCCGTGTTAGAAAGATGCCACTCCACAGACAGCCCCTGAAAGCTACATGGAATGATATAGATAAAGTTAATGCCGTAAGAAGAAAGGAAAGGGGACTAGCAGTACTCAACAGGCTCTATATATTTTAGAGTGCAGAGAGAAGAGAGAGCAAAGAGCAAAATCAAGTCCAAAAAGACACCAACAAAGCATAAAGGAAAAGGAAGGCTCTATTGAAGGCAAAGGATAAAAGGGGTCATTGCCATACCCTCGTGGCAGAAGTATAAACATACCAAGTGAAAGAGATTTGAGAGAGAGAGAGAATTAAAGCTTCAAAACCCTTTGGCCTTTTCTTTCACCACCCACCCCCACAAGAGAAAGAAACAAAGAAAGTAACTGATTGATCCTCAGCATGTGATAGAATTACAAGACAGAACTAGAAGAGACCACAATCAGTCGTCCCTTGCTTAAAAGGAATTAAGGTTTGTGTCTTTTTATAGTTTAATTAGTTCCATCTTGTTATTCTCCTTCTCAATGCTCATTTCATTTTTATTCCTTGTTCAATGAAACAAAATATGAAATATTCTTCTCGATACCCTTTTCCCTTTCAGCTCTAGCTCCTTTTTCTTTTAGTCATATCAGACAAAACAGAAAATACCCTCACCTTTCTGACATTTGAACCTTCAAATTTTCCTTCTTTTCACTCCATCACATATAAAGCTTTGGAGTTTGGATTACACATCCATAGTTCTCTCAAAACAACACACATCATAGAGGGAGATGAAAAAGGAATCAGAAGATCAAGGCCAGTGCTCCTCTCAACCAATCAACAACAATAACAACAACAACAACATTCAAAGCTACCAAGAACATCTTCTCCTTCAACAACAGATGCATCAGCAGCAACAAAACAGTGACATCTTTGGGACTTCAAGAGGGTTAATGTTCCCTGAAGTTTCTCCAATCTTGCAGCCATGGTCCATGCCTCCGGTTCACTCATTCAACCCGGGTCCGGTTCACTACAACAACACCAACCCGGTTCGAGACCATCATGACCAAGCATTTCTTGTCCCTCCCACACCTACACCCTATGCAAGCTTCTTCAGCAGGAGGGTACCTTCCCTTCAGTTTGCATACGAGGGTCCCTCTTCTGATCACCACCATCTAAGAATTATATCTGACACCCTTGGACCCATGGTTCAACCCGGTTCAGCACCCTTTGGACTCCAAGCCGAGTTGGGAAAAATGACTGCTCAAGAAATCATGGAGGCTAAGGCTCTTGCTGCATCAAAGAGTCACAGTGAAGCTGAAAGAAGACGTAGAGAAAGAATCAACAACCATCTCGCCAAGCTTCGCAGTTTGCTGCCTAACACTACCAAGGTAAGTTTATATAACTAGTTTAATTTCTATATAGCTTCAATATATAAAATACAGTCAATTCATAAACCATCGTTAGTTAATATAAGTTCTAAAATAATTATTATATAATCAGCAAATATATTATTTTTAATGTGATTGTTTGACCTTGTAAAGACCTTTCACACCATCATGCATAAACTATCTGTTCATATAAATTACATATATGTAGGTAAGTGCATATTTGCTTCACTTATTTTGTAAAGAAAAAGTTTGTTTCGATAAAAATATGCACTAAATTGTATCAGAACCCAGATTTTCAAATATTATTGCGATTTCGTGATTATTCATTTCATACCAAACTAAGAAAAAAAAGACAACCAAACCTCGCGTAAGATCAACCTAACATGCATAAGGAAATTTTCAACATGGTGCACTTATATTTTGTGTTTTCTTGTTTGAGATTTTTAAATAAAGAGAATGCTTGTAAGTGTTTCGAAGATTTTGAATCAAGAGAATAAATATACTTTGGTCAGGTACAACGTAAATCAACTAACCAAAATCATATTTAGAAAATGGGGTGCATGCAAACAGTCTTGTTTCTTTCTCTTACAACCCTTCTTTCTAAGTCTTTTTACTACTTAAACGGATGCAATACTTACATAATTATGATTTTTAATAAACTCTAATTAGCTAAAGACATGTTCGAAAGAACAAGCATTTTGCATGTTAAGTTTGTGTGTGGTAGTTCCGAGGAGGTTATCAGTATCAAAAGTGATTAAAGATGAAAGAAAGGTGTATTAGCGTTAAGGTGGTTCTTGATGCGATAAAGAGGAACAAAGCAGCAGTTGAAAAAGCTAACAGAGAATTTTCTTGCCGGATAATGTTGATCAGTCAAACTCAGCTCGATAATGAAAAAGAAATAAAGGCAGAGAGACAAAGTAGCACCCTTTTCAGTCACACACACATGCACCCACGCACTATTCTATATACCTATCTATCTCATCTCATCTTTCTTTCTCTCTGTCTATCTATCTACACATGCTGCATGCCACTTCCACCATTCAAAATACCCCCACTACTTCCATTTCACAATCATCAAGCTACACCCCCTACCTACCTCAACTTCCACACAACCCCCACAAATCAACCTATTTCAAACAATGCACAACTTCCAACCTTTGTTATTAATCATGATTCATGAGAGAATGTTAGTAAGTACTGTATATTTATAAGTGTCTTTAAAACATTCAAAACTAAAAATTACCAAGATATGAGACCATTACACTTTTTCATAACCACAGTTTTCTGCATTTTAACTTTGATTTTGACAAAATAAATCATTTAGATATGATTCTTTTAATTAATGTAATTAATTCCTTAGGTCATTTTAACAATTCTGTTATAAATAATATTCTACCTTCATTTTGCATATTGACTTTTAGTGTAATAATTTATCATGAATTTTTGAGTTGAAATGTAAATTTAATTAAAAAATAATATAAAATCTAAGAAATTAGATAAATGTACATGCAATACTGTTATTTAAAATTGTTAAATATAATTCTTTGTTTAATAAATTTCACTCATAATTTTATAGTTTTTAATAAAAGTTAATCAATAAAAAATTTCATATAAGTTTTATTCTTTTATATTCATTCATTACTCAGTAAAATGTACCTGTTAGTAAAACTCTTAAATATTATATATATATATATATATATATATATATATATATATATATATATATATATATATTAAGAATGTATTAGAATAAATTTACGCTGATGATTGATTGTCTGCGGCATTTTTCCTTGTCAATAAAAGATTTCTTAATCATAAACAATTAGGTAATGAAATCATTAGGTGGTCAAATAAAGAGTGGGACTCAAATGTATCAGAGTGTTAGGAAGTACATTGTCATCCATATTTTCATAATTTAACCAGCAACAAAAGATGTGTCATTGCGTTTGACAAGTTTTCATTTTATTTTGCAGACAGATAAAGCTTCATTGTTAGCAGAAGTGATTCAGCACGTGAAGGAGCTGAAGCGCCAAACCTCCCTGATAGCGGAAACGAGTCCAGTGCCAACCGAGGTGGACGAGTTGACAGTGGATGCAGCTGACGAGGACGGAAAAATTGTGATCAAAGCCTCACTGTGCTGTGAAGATAGGTCAGATCTCTTACCCGACCTCATCAAAACGTTGAAGGCCTTGAGGCTCAGAACCCTCAAAGCTGAGATCACATCGCTTGGTGGGCGTGTGAAGAACGTGTTAGTCATTACTGGTGATGAAGACAGTTCAAATACCAATGGAGAACAATGCATGCAGCAACAACAACAACAATACTGCATTAACTCGATACAAGAAGCACTCAAGGCAGTGATGGAGAAGAGTGGTGGGGATGAATCAGCTTCTGGGAATGTTAAGCGCCAAAGAACTAATAATATCAATATCCTTGAACAAAGGTCTTCATAATGTATCCCAGTTATTTTCGCTTCCATTTTCTAGTTCCATGCATGGTTTTTGATCTGAAAAGACACCAGTAAGAAAAAGGAGGGTTGCTGATGTTACTCTTAATTCTTTCACTCTAAAAACTAGGGTAAGTGAAAGGAAAAAAGAGTTGAGATTACTCTAATCCTTTAGCACTTTTCTACGTTTGCAGAGGGGAGTAAAAGTTGAAAATAGTTTATAAACCCTTCTTTTACATTTTTTAACAACAAATCTGTAATGAAATCAACCAGTTTCTAAGGCTGGGAACAATGATGATCCAATATCATTTTCTCTAACCAAATTAATTAAAGACCTATAATATATATTATTCACGGTATTACTTAAACATCTTTATGTTATTATTTTTGGTGTGTTTAGAAATGTGGTTATTTATTATGTAATATCCTCCATGGTCATGATGAAGCAATGAGGTAATGGTATAATGTGGTTTTGTTGTACATGTACTTGCTTGCTTGTGCTGAATCCAAAGAGAGAGAATGGGGTGGAGTTGGTTAGGGAAAGGAACAGAGAAGGATCTTTTTCGTGGGAAGAGATACCTTATATCGAATCCTAACATGGAAAATGAGGCATTGATTGCTCTGTGAGGAAGAAAATGGCATCTGCATTAAATTCAAACATGCATATATATATATATATATATATATATATATATATATATATATATATATATATATATATTATGTGTGCTGCAGGAACTGCTAGGCACTGTCATTGTTTTATTATGAAGTATTTATATAATATGTTTGTTCGTTTTCTTCTCTTCACTCTCTCTATTGAGATTTGAGAGAGGAGAGTGTAAGTATCCGTGCATGGCATCATGATTATCACAACTAATGGGATGGGGACGATTCAGTTATCCTCATGTCCTGCGTCCCCACATCACACTTCTACACCACCGTCACCTCCTCCTTCCTTCATTTATATATTTATCACATAATATATCATTTAATATTTGACATTTTTTGATGCATATAAATTAATATATGAATTTTTTATTAATTTAAAATATTTAATGAAATTAAAATTAATGTAATATTTTTTAAAATGTGCTGTATACTAAAATATAAATATTTAATTTAATTAAGTTAAAATTTTATATTAATCTAAAATATTTAATTAAATTAAAACTACATATTTATATGGATCCATGGCCAGATATGATGACTATATATATAGTATGAAGTATACCATTCAGATTATTATTTATTATTTACATACCAAAAATAGTTAGTAATACCTTTTATATATATATATATATATATATATATATATATATATATAAAAAGACATTCGTTTGTAATATTTTATTTATACTGTTTCAATTGTTTTACCTTTTATGGAATGAAATCTATTAATATTTATTTATATAAAATCAATATATTAAACTTACAAGATAATTAAGTGTCTCTTTTTTATATTATTTACACTTCAATTTGTAATCTAGAAGAAATTTGAGAACAATGTATTTGAAGCATGAAATGCTAAATATTAGATTTGACTAGTTTAACTTTTTGTGTGCGCTCTCAACTTAAAATACAAGTTATAGTATGATGAAAAAAAAATACATGTACGCTGAAGTATTATAAAGTTGTTTTCAAATTTTAAACCTTTTATATATTTAAAATTATATTAAATAATGATTTTATTTATAACTAGTTCTTATAAGTAATTTTAAAAAAATAAAACAACATAAATATCAAAATAAATTTCATGCTGACTAAAACACTATTGAAAGATGTATTTTGTTATAAATGAAAATTGTAATGATGATACACGTGAATTATTGGATCCTCCCTCCACCGTCAAAGACACTGCAAAGCCGTCATCAAACGACAGCGTTTGGGTTGTTCCCTCGTTCGCACGCGCAGCAAGGCAAGCTAACCTGCGCCGCTGCGCATCATGCTCTCCAATTGGATTCCTCCAATTTCGTTGGGAGCAAAATCTTTACTCAGAAGGAAATGGAATCCAATCCCGAAGATCGTGTGTGTGCAATGGTTTTCATTTTCATCGTGCAAAGCTCCAATAGACATGGCTGCCAGAGATGGAGAACTGAGGGTTTTCATTGTTGCCGGGGAAGTTTCTGGAGACTCCATCGCTTCTCGCCTAATGGCTTCGCTTAAACTTCTCTCCCCTTTCCCTCTTCGCTTTGCTGGCGTTGGAGGGTAAGTCAACTTCTTTTTTCATTCTATGAAAAATATCCGCTGAAATACTTCTTTTAACTTTTTGCGTTTGAGTATGGTTTGTGAAGTTTGAAAAGTTTTACATTCATTTCGTAGTAGCAAGATGGTTTTTTCATCAGTCATAAGGGGTCAATTTGGTGACATGTGATGTCACACCATACGCACTGATGCTTGTTTTGTCGGCCAAAATTAGTATTAGTAGTACAAAAAACTAAGAAAATGATTAATTTGGAGACATTATAGTAAACTAATATTATGTGATATGATTGTCCTATAAACTTGTTCTTTAAGTATGTGATCAGAGGTTCAATTTTCAGAACAGTGTGTATTGAAAAATATCTATTTTGAGAGATTGGTATTTTTAAATGATCTTTTGGTCCTTTGAGAGATTAGTAATTGATTTTCGTTTGAGAATATTTTCGCGTCATGACACTAGTAAAAAAAAATTGAAATTAGGAGATTGATAAAAAAGAAGAAAGAGAAGATGAGAGACTAAAAATGTATTTTAATAAAATATATATCTCTAAGGAAATTCTGATTCCTAGATATAAATTGAACATTTTATCAATTTCAGGGCCAAGATGGCAAGTGAAGGGTTGCAGTCTTTGTTTCCTATTGAGGATATTTCGGTAATGGGACTTTGGGAGCTCCTGCCTCATCTGTATAGAATCCGAGTGAGTGCTTTGATTTATGTGATTTTAATAATTAGTGGGATTTCTAAACTGAGAACAGTAGATATGAGATTTCTGTTTGTTTTCCACCAAATTTTTGAGAATCTGTTCAATATGTTATAGCTAAATTTTGGATATAGAATACGGTACGTAGTTGTTACCTGAAAAAAATGGTTGCACGGATTGCAAATAGGACGTAGCATAGCACTGCTACAATTCTACTGTAACGTATAAAATCAGTTTAAAATCAACAGGGACACAAATGTTAAATCAGAGAAGGGAATATCTGATATATTTTGGATACATTTTGGACTTGGGTACTACACAAGCATATGTGTATGAATTTTTATCTGTTACACATGTGAATTCCATGTGGTGGTGTTAATTTTCAGGTGAAACTGAAGGAAACTGTTGAAGCAGCTGCTCTATTTGAACCTCATGTTGTATTAACTGTTGATTCTAAGGGTTTTTCTTTCCGGTTCTTGAAACAGCTTAGAGGTACTACTACTAATGCACACTCCTTGCTGGAATAATTTCTGCATTTGTGGTTTTAGAGTTATGTTGTATGAAAATGGGGGAATGTCTTTTGCAGCTAGATATAGTCAGAAAAAGCTGCATTTGCCAGCACACTTTCACTACGTAGCACCATCATTCTGGGCATGGAAAGGAGGTGAAGCGAGACTCAGAGGACTAGGAGAATTTGTGGATCATCTATTGTGCATACTTCCAAATGAGGACAAAATTTGTAGATTGAATGGATTGTATGCAACAGCTGTTGGACATCCAGTCCTGGAAGATGTTCTGGAATTGAATTTGGTATGAGCTTGGGATATTTGGTAATTCTTACAAGCTATATTGTAAAGCTTGTATACCTTTATTAGAGATTCTATGGATTATTATGTAATTTTTTAATTCTTATCTCTCCTACAATAAGAAGCCAAAATTTGTTTCTCCTTTGGATTTATTATGCTTCCATATTTAACCGTGATCCTTACTCATATTATTAAAAAACTTATTAAATTCGCTCTCTTATCTCTCTTTGATATCTTGATCCGTAACCAAAACTTGTTCTTCTTCATCCTTATTATATTTTACCCTGTCCAAGTTTCTTGATTTCCTTTCCCTAATTTTGTCTAGCTTATATTTCCAGAGAAACAACTCCTCGATTCATGAATGGAAGGCTGAAGGAAACGCTGACGACTTCCGAAATAAGTATGCAGTGCCAGCAGGTACTTTTAGTAAAATGAAAGTCTTCACATACTTATCTTTACGAAAAATTTACTAATGTATTGTTTTTTACTATTTGGTACTCACATCTATGAGCTCATGTTTCACATTTCGTTAGTTTAGTGATTTTGCTTTCTTGCTCTGTGTGGATATTTGCTTTAGCATAATGCCCCAAAATCTAGATATTGGAGCAGAAGTTATAGTTTAAAAAGAAGAGTGACCTGAACCGTTTTCTGGACATCGTTTGTACTTTTTCGTTTAACTTTGAAGGCATAATTTGCTTTATCATCACATCAATTTTAACTTTAAAAGGAGCCACTGTCATTAGCTTGCTTCCTGGAAGCAGAGTGCAAGAAGTTAGTCGGATGCTTCCCATCTTTGCAAGTACGATGGAACTGATGAAAGATATGGTTCCACAGTTGATGACAGTCATTCATGTAGCACCTAATGAGCATGTGGAAAATTTCATAGCTGGCGCTGTTCATAGATGGCCCGTGCCAGTTATATTGATTCCAGGTGGAACAACACAACTGAGATATGATGCTTTTAGTGTAAGCCCCTTTGTCCCGCAAGACTTCCATGTACAAAACAAATATAATTTGATATGATGCTTTCAGCTTTAGTATAAATAAATATGACGCTTTTAGCCTTAGTATAAAATTGGTTTTATACTTCTGATATAGTCATCTATTCTTGAAATTGTTATCACGATCCATTGTAGAATGCTTACCGACTCTTGCTTGAGTTCTGGTGAACAATAAAGTAGATTAATACTTGAATCTAAACTTGCAATGACATTATAACTGCTGATTTTCGAAAATGTTGGCCAGTGATTCTGTCCAAACTGTTTAATAGATTTTCAGTTTGGTCATGCCCTTCTGGTTCC